CAGTAGCAGCTGCGTGTCCCCATAGCAAAATACCATACGACATTATGCTATGGAAATAGCTAAAGTAAACTAGTCTAGCTGTTTCAACACTGGTAAGACTTCTAATATTTTTTACAGCATATGCTGCAGAACTAAGTCTGCTTACTAGTTTTGATATATGGGGGCACCATTGAAGCTTCGCGTCTAGTGTGATTCCAAGAAAAATGGTGGTATCTACAAGACTCAGTTTCTCCCCATTTAAAATTACATTAGTTTTTAATTGTTTTACATTTGGAGTCATGAATTTCATACATTTAGTTTTAGTGCCATTTAAATGCAAATTATTAACATTGAACCAATGAGATATAATGTACTACGTACTAGAGAAGCTATTCCGAACAAAAACTGTGCACTACTCTATGTCTTCGCGCATGCGCGGTAAATAGTACAGTCGCGCATGCGCGGTTTTTGTCATCATAGATTATAAACGTAGGTAGAATGATCAGTATGTAATAAGTAAATGTTTATTTAGATTGTATTGTAAATTGTGTCGAGTACAATTTTTTAAATTGTTATTTATATTGCATAATGTGTTAATATAATGTAACATAATATTATGTCAGAATTACATTTTAATTATATTTTATTTAATACTTTAAAAGGTTTAAAATGTAGAATAGAATATAAAAATATGCATTTATTTTCAAAGATCATTATTATTACTTTTCTAGCATTCTCTAACGTATTTATACGCAGCTGGTGAATAATAGTGTAAAATCAATGCGAATTTACGTAAAGGTGTGTGCATGCAGTGTATAATTAATAATGCGTGCTCTGTTTATTCTTTTTCGTTAAAGATTTATGTTACTCCATAACTTCTGCTTTACCAATTAAATCAATCTCAGCATTAAAGTTGAGACCGAATTTATGTTTAAAATTTTCTACAATTGATTTGTAAGAAGCACATTTTTCTTTAGATAAGTATTTTGTCTTAAATTTCGCAGTAAGTTTCTTTCTGGTTGCAGATTCCTTGCTATTAAATACAAACACAATATTAAAACGTGCTTATATTTTATTATTTTTATAATAACCTAGAAATATTGATTCCGTTATTATGGTAGAACTATATTTAAAAGCTTAGGCTTCAAACTTAGTTTAGGAGACATCACTTGCGTGATTTATTTTTAAGTACAATTTTGCTCGGACTATCTAAAATTGAATTTGTACTGCTTATTGATTCAGATAACGGTTCTGATACTTCCTGTTCACCACATTTTATTGGCTGAAAAAAAAGATACTAGTTATTTGGGAAGCCCGCAAAAATTGTAGTGTTACAGTATTAAAAACCGTCATGATGACTCACGCGCCGAGTTTTCCGCCTCTCTTAAGTCCCGTAAATATACTGAACATTACAAAACATTCGTTCGTCGTCTAATCAAAAATAAAACAAAAATCCCAGCAATGTTATATAATTATATAATTACATTGTCGCATGGTACTGTTTATTTCTTGAAATACACTCTTTCTGTTTTTGCGGTATATTTGTAATTTTTTTTGAACTGCACGGAAAATATGCGTGAATAATCTGACGTTTCTTCGCTGCAATTCTTCTGAACAAATTTGATCTTTCATTATTTTGTTTCATGACACAGCCGAGGAAACCATTAAATAAAAATAATAATAAAAAATATTAATTTTAATGCATTGACATTTCCTACAGTGATTACATATAAATATTTTACTGTTCATAATTACTTAACATTATACATCGATAGTGTCAAGTCTGCGCATAAAAATTTTTTACTCTTTGACATTCACGTATACGTTGCAGTTGATAAAATATAATTAAATTAAGTGTGTTTTAAAGATAATAATAAGTTTAAATTACTGGTGAAAATTCACTCCTTGACTTTTCCTTACATTTCTCGAGTAGCTTGAACAGTATCTCAATGCACACGAAGGCATATTAATTTAAAAATAATTCTTCACTCTAACTTCTCACGTTGCAACAACCGCTTGACACAGACTAAGTGAGTTTGAGAGCGCGCACTCTAACGCGTGTTACAAACAATCGATTTGAGGCGTCTTCTCTAGTACGTAGTACATTATATCTCAATGCATTGAACCAATTTAATAATTTAGATATAGCATTATTTACTTCGTCATATTTTTAATACTGCTGTGTTTCGAATGGTGAATGTAGAGAACCGGAAACCCTTTTTACTGGAAATGAAGCATTCCATCTAAGTTTTCAAGGGTGACAAAGCAATCTTTCTTTCGTTTTAGTTTCTTCCCAACAAGCTTTAAAATGTTTGTTTCGTTACGATATAAAGATATAAAAAATTCAAAATATTGTAGAAAATAGTTCGGGAATAAGTCAACCTTATTATACATTCTGAACGCCTGTGAAATAATGATTAATTCTCATAAGCGATACTTGAATTATTCATAACTTTGGTATCGGAAGGTCAAGGATGCCTAAAAATTAACGAAGATCAAAAATTATTGTATATTAAGATATAAGATAAATACTATTTTTATTAAATAGGAAATGAATACCAGCTTCTTCCTGGTAACAACACAAAATAATAAAAAAACTGCAGTTTCAATAAACCCACTTGCCAATTCTGTCAACCATAACAAATCTCGCCACGAAATAAATTTCTAGGAGAGCCCTATTTACAGCAGTGGACATTTTATTACGGGTGACTAACGTGCACACAGTCCATCTGATGGTAAGTGGATGCTGTGATACATCTATCCTCGATTAAGAACCAAAATGCAGGTGCGTTGTAACCCCTGAGGTCTAAGATGGAATGCTAAAAAACTAAACTAAACTGGAAACGAGCAGTGAAAATTATCTTTGGTGCTCTACAGTCACCATACGAAACACGAAAGCATCAAATTGCTATTTCACGCTGGTATTCTGTGAAAGCGCGGTCCATCCTCGGTCAGACCGACCCATTTGTGCTACAACTATATAGCTGCAGTTTGGCTCTACCACGTAGAAGTAGAAGTAGTTTACATAAAAGTGCTATTTAAAGTATAAGTTGTTCACGTCTTTGCCTTTTTATGTACAAAAACGCTGATTCCTATCACGCAAAAACAAATATCACAATCAAATTTAAAATCCAGTTGAATCCGAAATTGGAAAGTTAAGTACGATGCGAAATATTTTAACGTCCAATAAATACAATTTAGTCACAAAATTCTTTGTTTCTGAGTCGAATTAAGTTTAATGAATAATAATTTGAATTAATTGTGGACTATTATCATTTGTATAATGAACACAAAATTTCATGACGTAATATTATTCATTTGTGATTTATATTATTGAAGTCAAATTCATTAGTAAACTTGATGGGAGATAACATTTGCTGTTAATGAAGAAAATATTGTTGGACAAAAGTATACTTTATTAGTTTTAATATAATAATAAATTATCTCATTTCTGATGTTAGAAATTACTCTCAAAATTATTTAATTAAACGACTAACTTTGTACAATTTTATGTTATATCACAATAGGAAAATACGTATTTAACACAGTTGGCAGTTAGGACAACACTAATATAGATAAAGTATTCAAACCAATAACATTACCGCCTACCTATCAGAATGTATATGATATAGGACAGCATCTCGGCAATAAAACTTTTTTTTAAATTTACCAAAGATATTAACCTAACGGCCGTCATAACAATTGCGACTCACAGAATTGCTGACTGATTTCTCTTAGTTGCCTGCGCGATACTTTATAATGCTAGATCAAGAGTATACAGTTCTACACTCAAGTTTTCGTATTTTCTTTTATTTTCTACCCTCATTCCTAACAATATAACACTAGATGATAGTACAACAATACATTTGATGATGGGTCAGATAGAAAATCGATCCCGAGGAAGAAAATCATCTTTTCACAACGTTTTATTAGTTTTATTCACGCTACATCATATTAGTACAGCTAAAACTAAAATTCATTAAAAAGACATGAAAATACTTTAACATAAAGCCAGCTGTAGAATTTAAAATTAATAAATCAGCTGACTAGGGTCAATATTCGCGCGGACGCCGAAGTCTTTTATCTAGCTCGGTATGAAACAATGCTTGCAACAAATGCCCTTCCTTTTCACACACGCGTTGCCGCCGCCCGGCCGACTCTTGTCGCCTCGCGTCAGCATTGCCAACATATGGGAAATTTCCGAATTGCGGGGAATTTAATGTTGGTTGAGAATTTTATGGGGATTGGTATTATGCGGGAAAAATGTGCGGTTTTGAAAATCGATATCACAAGCCAAATCAGAACATTTTTTCAAGAAATCTAAATACTTATCTTAACATTTTTATTAGGTTACTTATGAATATATATACATTTAATTTTCGGATTTCTTTTAATGATTTTCATTGAGTTATTTTTTAATTTTAAAGCAGAGAACCGCATGCACATAAACGCAGATACTGTGGTACTTTTAAAAAGTCACAAGAGCAGGAATAGAAAATACAAGTAATAGAGTAAAATGCTTGTTACAAGAACAAGGAAAGTTTAGAAAAATTCGGTAAAAACGAAAAAAATGTTAGTTTATAAATAAATCATATAAAATTATTTAAAAATTGTTTCATTTCTTAAAATAAAAGTAAGGGGAATTTAACATGAATTTTCGGAGAATGGGAAAATTGGTGTTGGCAACGCTGCAATGTTACACTGAAACTTACCTTCTGAGATTTCTTTGCAGGCAACATAAGAATAAGAGGCGAAAATCATAATAAAACTTGCAAGTAATTTTTAATAATTTTGACGGACCTCTTATTAAATTCAAAGAATTGGACATATTAAAAACGCAAAGTTAATTAAAATATAGTAAAATAATAATTTTGTTGATTAATTCTGATAGATTAATCAACTGTCAGTCATAATTGCAATTGATTTTAACTATTAAGAGCGGTACACATTGGGCGCTCGGCGTTGCGTTGGGCGCGCGCTTGTAGCATACATACAGCGCGCTTAGCACGGCGTGTTCGGAAATGGACTTCGAAGTGATCGCTTGTGTGTGGCTTCTATACCGTCGCTATAAAAGACAACGGCAGAGGCAAAGAGAATATTGGGTGCACCCAATATTACGAGATAGACTGACGCATGGAATGTTTGTAACATTGTATCCACAATTAAGGCAATATGAACCTAAGTTTTTTAATTATTTTAGAATATCCATAAAATCATTTGATGACTTACTCCATGTTATTAAAGTAGATATTACTGGTGATTCAACGATTTTAAGAGATTCAATTTGCGCAGAAAAACTCGTGATAACGTTAAGGTAAGTATATTTGTTTATTCAAATAAATCTAAGTTGTCTGAATCTTGGCTGGAGGCTGAACGTGACGGTGACCATGATGACGGCGGTGGTGGCGGCGTGGTAGACCACTGTTGTGTTGTTGAGGGTCTAGCAGTAGTATATCCAGAATATGTCGGTGTGGAATATGTGTATTGGTGATGATTAGTTTCTAGTGGTAATGATTAATGATAATTCTGTGCTTCTTTAATGACATGGAGTAATTCAGTCTTTGTAGATAAGCGTCGATTTTCGGGCACGTTTTTTAATTCATTGTACAATGATAAACAGAATAGTTTATCATCGTCTTCTTTAGTTAGTCGCCCCATATATCCACGGCGACTGGTCCCTCCAGAGTCGATCAGGTCACATGTGGTTGTGTAGTGAAAGGGAAAGAAGGTGATGTGATGTGTATCTGGGTGTGACTGCGGGTGATTGAACCTAGACCTTGGCCGTCGGCAGCAGCCCGAGCGTCGACACCTTCGGCCTTCCGAGGCGTTGTCCAAAATGCTGCACCGCTTCAGACAGCTTCGGCACCGGACCACAGTCACTTTCCTCGTTCGTCACGATGACAGTCAATTAACTCTATCGTACGATTAACTAACTTACAGAAGCCACTAACTATCGCTGGGTATAAGGTTAACGCACAAAACGCACACGGAGTTTCTGGATCAAAGGTCACTACCGTTTCGCGTTGCAACAGTTAGTTCTAGATTATCAGAGGCCGCACTAGCTAATATTGTCGAATGCACTTATACAGATTCTGAGTCGGACCCAATAAGTCCCGGGAAAGGCTATCCAAACAGGGAATGCGCGTTATAAATCCTAGACGGGATATTTCTAGACGCCCTAACTATTCCGCGGTTCCCGCACAAAAATGACAGCGTGCTGTTCCAAGCACAGCTGGCAGACGACTGCCTGCCCTTGTGCACTTTTCGCACGACCGAAAATCAAACTAGTATAAATGCACCGCGCCGAGCGCCCTCTCGCGTCAATCCTTGAAAGTGTTTGGCGCGAACATTATCTACATCTGAACTAGTTGTGCCAGAAGATTGGTAATTGCTCTCTGTGTCGTTATATGCTGTAGAATTCGCAAGAAATTGTAATTTCCTGTAATACACATATGGCGTATGTTTGGAAGATCCAGATCCAGATGGAAGCTTTTTTTGCCTCTTAGACTCCCTAAGATAATTGTCCCGAATGCTTTTCCATTTTTTCATAAGTGTACATCTGAAAATAAACAATAAACATTTTTATTTTGACAGATACTTGGCCACAGGCTGCTCTTTCGCTGATTTGCATTACGGATACCGTCTTGGAAAATCGACAATTATAAAGATAGTGGAACAAGTTTGTAAAGTACTATGGAGCAAATTGAAGTTTATATCTATGCCTGAAATGACAACAGAAAAGTGGGAAGAAGTAGAAGAAGGTTTTAAGAAATACGCTAACTTCCCAAATTGTATTGGTGCGATTGACGGGAAACATATTGAGCTAATACAACCAGAACATACAGGGTCGCTTTTTTACAATTATAAAACATACTTCTCATGAGTCTTACTAGCAGTTTGTAATGCAAATTATTGTTTTGTGTACGTTGATGTCGGATCCTATAGCAAAACCAGTGATTCTGCTATTTTTAAAAATTCCGAATTTTTTAAACGGATTGTGAATTTATTATTCCTAACCCAAGCCTATATCAAATATCGATAGAACTCCATTGCCTCATGTGTTCGTCGGCGATGAAGCATTTGGAATTATATCGAATGTGATGCGGCCGTATGGGGGAACACAACTCACACACACTAAAAAGTTTTCAATTACAGATTATCGAGAGCAAGGCGCTATATTGAATGTACTTTCGGAATAATGAGCAATAAATGGCGAATATTTCATAGACCGATAGATGTAAACATAGATTTCGCGGAGAGTATCATCAAAGCTTGCACAGTACTACATAATTACGTTCGAATGCGCGATGGTTACAGATATGAAGATACACTTTATGTTTCACCTCTACAACCTATACATTTAGAAAATTTACCACGAGGCAGCTTATGTGCTAGAACAGCAAGAGAAAAATTTGCCAATTATTTTGTGAACGAGGGAAAATAACAGTGGCAAAACAACATGATATAATTATAGAAAACATCAATAAATAATTATACTCACCCAACAGTTTTTTCTTTTCCAAATTGTCTTCGCAATCACTAAAAATTTCAACTATTTTCTCCCAATTATGTTTTTTTAATATTTTATTTTTATAATCTGGACTTTGCATGTCCCATATAGCTGGACGCTTTTGGATTTCGTCGATAAATAAATCAGTATCGAATTGTTCGATCTCCATGATATACGTGCACCCTACACGAAAGCGCGCGATCAAATGTACAGCAAAATGGCGGTGCATGTATCTACAAGCTGACGCCCACGCAACGCGCGTTCCAACGAAACGCGTCCGACGCGCGCTTGATCAGAAGCGCGCGCTTACATGTGTACACTTCAATAGGGACTTTTGGATCTCAAAACGCGCGTTAGTAAATCGCGCGTTTCAAAGCGCCCAATGTGTACCCGCACTAAATTATTCAGTACCATTTCATTTCTACTTTCTTGTACAAAATCAAAGTTACCGATCAAATAGTGTCTGTAATTGTATAACTGAATACCCAATTAGGTACGTTTATTAATTTTAATATCATTTTTGTATTAACGAACTGCTTGTAGCTTTAGAGTGCAATTGATTGTATAAAAATGACAACTATAACTTCTAAAGTCCATATGAAGGCTAGTCGTAGGGATAAAGTAAAAGTAAAGTAAAATATACTTTATTGTACACCAAGGAACATATTACAAAATTTATATATTTAAATGGACATTGGTACAACAGGCGGCCTTATCGCTAAAACAGCGATCTCTTCCAGGCAACCTTAGGGCAGAGGATACTATTTTTAAAAGAAAGCGGAAGGGGGAAGAATATAATATAGAAAGATAAATAGAAGAACATAAGTGATTAAAGAAAAAAAAGTGAATGACGACAGGTAGTAACTTAAGAGGAAAGGTAATAAAGTTTTAATTTATTTTTAAATATAAGAAGAGATTCAGATTCTTTAATATGTAAGGGGAGAGAATTCCATAGTCGTATAGCGGTAACCGTAAATGAATTAGAATAGAAGGAAGAGGAATGTCTAGGAGTACTTAGAAGGTGATTATTTTGAGATCGTAGAGGTAAAGAGTGTAAACTACTTAAATATATAAATCAGATTTTCAAATAAGAAGGAGTGGTCAGATTGAACAGAATGCAGTAAAGAAGATGAAGTATGTGAGTATTCCTGCGAAGGCAAATCGGTAACCACTTGAGCTTATGGCGGAATTCGGATATGTGGTCATACTTTTGTAACCCAAATATGAACCTTATGCAATAATTTTGAAGCCGCTCAAGATTATTAAGTTTATCAACTGTTAGGTCAAGAAAACAAGTGACCCCGTAGTCAAGAATCGGTAAAAGAAGAGACTGAGCCAGCGCAACTTTAGTAGGAATGGGGAGAACATTGCGTAATCTTCGAAGTGAACCAACTGCGGCAAACATTCTTCTACTTACTTCCCTCACTTGCGGTCCCCAAGAAAAAGTCTGATCGAACATAATACCAAAATTCTTAACTTTGTCACTGTATGGGATAAGTGTCCCTTCGAATATGACTGGCGGGAGCAGTGACAAATTTAACCAAGAGATTAATTTCGAACTCCCAATAATAATGGCTTGAGTCTTCAACGGATTAACTTTAAGCCCAAATGAATTACACCAATGAGAAATACGAATTATATCTTCATTAATTAATTTAATTGTATTAGGGAGATCCGCAATCTTACATAGAGAGTAGATTTGAAAATAGTCTGCATATAGGTGGTAATAGAAGTGTTCGCGCAAAACACTTTCAAGGATTGACGCGAGAGGGCGCTCGGCGCGGTGCATTCATATCGGTTTGACTTTCGGTCGTGCGAAAAACGCCCAAGGGCAGTCAGTCGTCCATAAGCGGTGCTAACGATTGGCACGCTGTATTCTGTTAGGGAACTCGGAATAATTCGGCGCGGCCAGTAAATATACGGTCTATCATTGTGACGCGCATTCCTGCTGGAGAGCTTCCCAGGGACTCATTGTGTTTGACTCAGAATCTGCATAAGTGCATTAGGCAATATTAGCTAGTGCGGCCTCTAATATTCTAGAATTAACTGTTGCGACGCGAAACGGTAGTGACTAGTGACCTTTAATAAACTGTAAACTCCGTGTGCGTTTTGTGTGTTAACCTTATAACCCGCGATAGTTAGTGGCTTCTGTAAATTAGTAAATCGTACGATAGAGTTAATTGACTGTCAACGTGACGAAAGAAGAAAGTGACTGTGGACAACCTCGAAAGGCCACCTCAAGTTGGAGCGGTGTCGACGCTCGGGCTGCTGCCGACGGCCAAGGTCAAGGTTCAATCACCATCAGTCACACCCAGATACACACCACATCACCATTCTTTCCCTTGCACTACACAACCACATGCGACCTGACCGACTCCGGAGGGACCAGTCGCCTTGGATAGGTAAGTAAGCTTCATCCAAATTCCTTCCGGTCGACTGGCCGTAGTATAACGCTCCCCCATATATTTTAATGTAATTAGGAATTTCCACGTGGCCACATTGAGGCCCGACCTACGTCTGTTCGGGAAGTCTTCAGCTCATGGGCCCCTGGGGATCTGATCTTTTAAGGGAGCAGCCGTAGGCCGTAACAAACTGGTAGCAGAGCGTGGTTCCGGGTTCGATTCCCGGTCGATCCCGACCATAGTGTTTGATAAACATTAAACAATTCTGGTGGCAGGGAGCATTGGTTTGATTGGTTTAATTTGTATTTACAATCACGCCCGTACGTAATACGTAAAATATTTCGTAATAATAGAATTATTTCCCTTTGTTCTTTGTTGCTTGCCTTTTTTTGGTTAGTGGGTAGATTTGAAAAGCCGCGCCCTAGGTTGCGCAAGCGGGAGTTTTCTAGAGATAGAGATAGATGTAGGTAGATGGTTATTTTTACGTAATCGGTTAATTATCGTTGTCGGATAGTTGTAGTGGATTACTTATCGAAGGGTCGATTTCCGAGCTAGGCATTTTTTGTTGATCGACCGTGATGTGTATCTTCGTTTATACTGTAAGTTGTATTTGAACTAAAGAGTAGTAATTGTATTTGCGCAATTTGAATTTAACTTGATTTGATCGCACTAGTATTTGTTATTTGTTAATTTGATTTGTGCCTTTTCTTTTGTGCTAACTTGTATTTGGTTGATACGTAGTAATTCGTATTTGTGTAATTTCTATTCAACGCGATTTGATAGGAACTGCATTTATTAACTGTTAATTTTTGTTGTATTTTTTGTTTGTTATCTTTGTAATTTGTGCTCGAGCCGCGTCGTAATTTGTATTTAATAGTGATGACATCGCCCAAGCTACTGATCCGTTGTGTGCGGACTGAGCTACGCTGTGCCACAAGCGCCCATGCTCTGATAGGTCGACCGGATAGGGTCCATAACTTGATGAAGCGGTTCGAGCAGGTGGATGCTCGAAGGGCCGCAGTGGAGGAGGCTTACGCTGAGCTCGAGGATTCGGATGTGGAGAAGGGAGTTCTGGACTCCTGCTTCGCGGACTATGAGCAGTTTTTGTGGCTCACGGACGAGTTGATCGAGGCTGAAGGCAGGTATGCCGAGGAAGCGCGTGAAGCTCGGATGAGTGATCGGTCCGAGTCCTCTCTGAAGCAGCTTCAGCCGGAGCTGTTGGGACGACTCCCAACTCTGGACCTGCCAAAGTTCTCCGGGGTCCTTTCCGAATGGCTGACCTTCGTTGGTCTTTTCGACAGCCTAGTGGACGCCCGGAGTGACTTGACCCTGAGCCAAAAGATGGTGTACCTCCTGGCCTCACTGGAGGGGGAGGCCCTGGGCGTCGTCGGCCACTTGAGATTGTCGGACGACGCCTACCAGACTGCTCGGGACCTCCTAGCCAGAAGGTACGCCAACGTCCGGCGAATTGGGGACGAACATGTTAAGCAGCTTCTAAGCCTCCCGCTGCTTAGTGAACGGGCCAGACTGCGTCCGGACCTGTTGGATCCAGTCTTGGTGGCCTGTGATACGTTGAGGCGGCTGAATTTACCAGTGGGCGAATGGGCTTTTTTGTTGCTCCACATCGTGCTGTCCCGTCTACCTCTCGACCTTCGAATCCATTTTGAGGAGAGGTACGGCGGGGACGAGGCCTCCTATATTCCGCCCTTCTATGACCTGCTGCGGTTTTTGGAGGAGCAGTGCCGGCAGATAGAGAGCGCGGCGGGCACCGTTGACGACTTACGAGCCGTGCCCAGTGAGAGGCTGAATCCTCCAGGCAAGTCGTCGTCAACCCCCCCCTGCTCCTATTGTCGAGCATCTGATCATCGGGTAACGTCGTGCCCGAAATTATTAGGTAAGTCGGTTCCAGCGAGGCGAACTATCGCCAAGGAGCGCCGCTGGTGCTGCTTATATTTGGGAGGACACCTCCAG